GGGATCCCTTTGTCCCAGGGGATCACAAATTATAACTCAAACTAACCCAAGTCTACCTGCACACTAGTACACACACTGCTGTTAACAAAGCTAACCTGGTAAAGGGGTTCAGCTCATGCAATATAAATTCACCACCTACTCCCAAAATAGTTCTCATAATGGTTGAATTTTCTTCCAAGTTCACAGACTAAAGTTTATATTTTTGTATAAGCAGGAAAACAAAAATAGCATTGATTCAAGGCAGCCATAAAAGATGTGGCTGATGTTTATTAGTAGTCTGATGCACTGTTGTCTGTTTTTCACCCATGTTAACAATTCCTCTGGCTTCCAGCACCATCGGATTCAATGAAAGAAGGAAGTTACCAGCTGCTACACATCAAGGTTCAAACACTGGCATTCCACCTCAGAAACCTGCCACTTTTTAACTTACACGTGTATGACTCCATCTCAAGTGATTATTAAGACAATGTGATATTAAAAATATGAAGTTCAATAAACAATTAAATTCAGTAAGTACAAATAATCATTACAATCACTAAATAAAAACATATTTAAATGTAGTATTTACTAATAGTAGGTGTCAATACACATCAGGTGCTATGAGTGAGACTTAACAAATGGGTTTACACTCAATTATAATAAACTAGACACAGATCCACAGATTGTAGACTACACAGGTAAAGCACACACAGATAAATGATTTCATTCCACAAAGCAGGTAAAATGAAGAATAGAAATTATACAGGGGGAGGCAAAAGTAACTCTACAGTTGTTCATATAGAAAATAATATATATATATATATATATATATATATATATATATATATATATATATATGCCTAAGCGACTCTTGGACCATTCGCTATGATGTGCACTGACCACCAGAGGGCAGATGCTCAATGCACAGGCATGGAAACATGGAACAGACTGATGAACCTCTGCGGAAAGGGGGGAAGGGGGAAAGGTGGGAAGAGATTAACCAAAGATTTTATATGCATGTTAGAGGCCCAGTGCACAGATTCGTGCACTGGTGGGGTCCCTTGGCCTGACCTGTGGGGACTGGGCCGAACTGGCAACAGAATATCCCCTGCATTGTGAGAGTGCAGGCCAGGCCAAGGGACATGCCCCCCGCCCCCCCCGCCCCACAGTGCACAAATCCGTGCACTGGGCCTCTAGTACAATAATAATAGCACAAGAATAAACTGTTGCATGTACTCACAACTAGAAACCTGTAGACTACCCACCCTGTAGACTACCTCCTAAAGAAAAGCTATTTTTAAAATACACCTATGGCAGGTATGTTATAAAAATATTTGTCTGATTTCTAATTTTAATGACTGCATCTTATAAACACAGTTAATTCCTACACAGGGCACATTTCACTGAAGAGTAGGGAAGCTTATCTTTAACTGTAACTTTTTTTTTTTTTTAATTTGGGGACAATAGAGAAGTTAGAATCAAACAATGATTGCATATTAAAATCTAATATAGAAGAGCCAGGTACACATTTTTGTCGACTTTGACAATGAGTTTGAGAGGCTGGGATATTGTATCCCAAACAAATATACGTGCATTCTCCTCTATTTACACGTTATAGGAAGTCCTTTGTCACAGACACTACACATACATGTACTAACTAGGCAAAGTACCTACATGATCTCATTGGAAGGAAGGGATATTTGGGGGAAGAAATCAAGCAAGATCAGGCCATGTGCCTTTTTGTTCACTGAGCCTCAGGCAGTGTGCTAGGAGCTTTCACACACATTAACTCACTTAACCCTAATAATTCCAAGAGGCAGGCGGTGTAATTCCTTCGGATTTCACAAACGTCTCCTAACTCTGCAGGGGTAGAGCCGAGATGTGAACCAAGATCTGACGGCAAACATGCAGCTCAGTCCCCGATCAGTGTCTTTCTGGGGGAGGTTATCTAACGGGAAAACAGGTCTGCCTTGCCACCTGTATACTCCTCTCCTTACTTCATCTACCGAGATTGTCCACAGATTCCGCCTCCCTTCTAGAAAAAAGCAATCAGATCCCTCTTACCCCACAGGGCAGTATTCCCACTGCCCCATCACTGATAAAACTTCAGCAACACTTTGTAACATTCATAGGTACCCAGAGTGTATCTTTAAACAAAACTAAAAACAAATAAAAAACAAGAAGCAAGCAAGCAAACAAGAGGGGTATGGTCTGATTACTGACAGTATAAATGCCCACAGACAACCCAGAACCATCATCATCACTGTATGTCCCCTTGCCAGATTAAAAGCAGCAAAAGGAGAAAAAAATGAGGCTTCCCAAAATTTGGCTGACGGCACGCGACTTGCCAACAACAAATCTGTTTACAACCTCCTCCTCCTTGTAAGATCAGAACACAAATCCACTCCAGCTCAAACGTTAAAATCAAGTTCTATTAGACACTTCCGCAGTTACTTAACCATCCTCGGCACACGCGTCTCTATTTCTCTCCCGGTGACCAAATGAATGGCTGATGTTGCTATCGCTCAAATGTTAATACGATCAATATTACCCCGAGCAGCATTCTACATGGAAGATACAAAGCTATAACGCAACTGTTTTGAAAAATAAAACACCACTCTAATATCTTTAAAAGATTGCTTCCAGTTGTATTCACACACAAAAAAAGTGAAAATAAAAATCTTTGTCACGCCCACCTATTAAGGAAATATAAAATCTCTTAAGAATATGGAAGGTCATTCTCAAGCCATAATTCAACACGATGGCATTACACTTCTTAACACCGAATCCCAACAGGCTACGTCCCTCAGCTGAACAACCCTCACCACTCACTCAGATCCTTTCATTTAAAAAACAAACAACAAAAAAACACACTTTTGCTAGAAAGTAATTTCTGATCACTATAATCTCATCACCTTTGTTCCAATGTGGAAAACACACCCAGTTTTATACACAAAGTGACAACAGTGTGAAGTTAAAAGAAACAAGATAAGCACCGTTTGTTTAGGGAGGTCACTATCACTTCAAGTAGTTAAGTTTCTATTGGAAACAACCTGGCAAACAAATTGCTCGAGTCTGAAATCCACCAAAACCCAGGTTCAGCGCTTCGGCATACCTTCATTACTATAACAGGACGATCATCTCAAGAATGCTCCCCCAGAACCGAGAGTGATTCCAGAATCAATCAGGACACCCTCCTCCATAGAACAAGCTGGCCTTCCCAGTTCACAACCCACAACGCGTGCACTCCCCTTTGCTACAAAGTGGAACTCAAACCCAGTGGAACTCAAACTCAAACTCAAATCCACTTGGGTGGAAACTTTTTTTTTTTTTTTACTTTTTCCCCCCCTAAAAAAAAAAAAAAAAAGTTACCATACGGTGAAAGCAATGAGCTGACCAAGACCTCCAAAAATACACACACCCAATAAAAAAAACAAATAAATGAAAAATAACAAAAAGCGGACATCCAAAAGCCACGACAGCCCCATAGTCACTTTATTTCCCATTCCTCAATTCATTTAAAAAAAAAATAAAAAATAAATAAACCCGCCATCCTTAGGCTTTCAAAAAAAATTTTTTTAACTATTCTGTTTACCTTTTGCACAGAATGTGCAAGCACTGCCAAGGTAACAGATTTTACAACTGACAACTGGCAGCGCTTGGCAGTCGCCAAAACAACACAGCTGGATCCTTAAAGAGACAGCACTGCCCTGCCATCCGCACCCCGAGGGCGGCAGCTTCGGGGAGCCTTCCCCCGCGCGCGTGGGGAGACCCACGGGGAAACAGGCTGGAGAACCATTATCTGCTGTTGTTGTTTTTAATTGCACACCCCTTTTTGTTAGCTCCTCGCAGCAGGAGGCTCCTCTGATCGCGGGGTGCCTGTGGGGGACCCCTCCACCACCACCCCTCCCCCCAAAAAATCCCCAGGTTTAAGGATATGCCGCTTCCTTCCATGTACACCCGGTTCCCTCCCTCCCGGCGGGCGAATTCCAGGAGGCCGGCTTCCTCCTGCCTCGTCTGCCCTTCCAGGGGGTAAAAATAAATAAATAAATAAATAAAAATAAACAAAATAACAATAAGTGTTTTAACTTGGAAACGCTCACTTTTTTCCAAAGTTCCAACCCCCCCCCTTTTTTTTTAACTATGTCCCATACTCTCTCCCTTCTCGCTGTTGGAAGAGCAGAGGATAAATGCAACTAAAAGGCAAAGTTTCTGCCGCACAGACCCTTCCCGGCGGCGAGCCCGGATCCGCCGGGAGGGAGGTCCGCCCGGGCCGCCCGCCCCGCTTCCCCGCGATGGCTCCTCCCGGAGGGTCCGGGTCCGAACCCGCAGGTGCTCCGGGCCCGGGGCCGCCTCCCCGGCCTCCGACAGCGGCCCGCCGCCTGACATCCACACGCCGAGCCGCGGCGTTGCGCCCCTTTAAACCGTCCTTCTCCTCCCCAAGCGCAAGTGGGGGGGGGGGGGGGACTCCCACAGCAAGCCCCACTCCGGGGGTGCGGGTGAGGGGTCAACTCCTGCGGGGAGACAGACCCCGGGGTCCCGCCCCGGAAAGGCGCCGGGCCGCCCCCCCGGAGACTCCCAACTTTCGGGGAGAGGCGACGTCCGGAGCCCCGAACGCCGCGCCGTGCGCGCCCGGAGGCTCCCCGATCCCTCCCGGGCCCCGCGGCACCCCGGCGGCACCCCTCGGGCCCGCCCTGGGGGCCCCCCGCCCCCACCCCTCAGGGCGCCTCTTGCCCCTCCGTGCGGACCGGACCGGACCGGACCGACGCGACCACCTCCTCCCCGCACCCCGCCGGCCCGCCCGCCCCGGCGCCGCCAGCCCCGCCGCGACACGGCCTCCCGCCAGCCGGACGCCGCCCTGTCCCAGGGTCGCTCGGGCCGGCGCGCTCCTCGCCGCGGTCGCCCCGCAGCCCGCCCCGGCGAGCCACGGCCCCCGGCCGGCCGGCCGGCCCCGTCGTCGGAAGGCCGCCCCCCGGTCCGGCACCCGCTCCCGAGCCCCGAGCCCCGGGGGTCCTCCTCACCGTGTCCCCGCGCCGAGGGGCAGGCGTGCACACACGCCGCAGCCGGGACCCGCCGCCAGCTCCGCCGCGTCGCCCGGAGACGCCTCCCTCCCGCCCGCCCGCCCTCCCTCAGCCCGGGACTCGCCGGGACGGCCGCGCACGGATCCCCACACCGGGGCTATTTTTAGGAGTCAGGCCCCGGCCGGACCGGAACTCGTTCCTGCCCCGCGCGCGCATGCGCACTGCGCGGGCGAGCGGGTTGGCGGCCGCGGTGTCCCTCCGCCACACCTCGCCTTCGCCCTCCTCTCCAGCCGGGCTGCCCGGTTCGCTTCTCCCGGGAGCTTCCCCCTAGGGACCTGCGCTACCTCCTCGGTGGGGTCTTAAGAGTCCCGGGGATGGGGAGAGGCACGGGGGAGGGCCGAGGGAGCCATGCCGATGGGGGAGCGAGCGCCACTCCGCAAGGACGGGAGGGCGGACTATGTTTTTCCGGGTGGGATCGGAGACGGATCACCCGGCACAGGAAGGGAGATGACGGCGGCTTGGCGCCGGGCTGCGGGATGGAGCTGGCCTTCCTCTGAAGGGCCGCGTCCTCCAGGGAGCGGATACGGGTCACTTGATGAGGGCTGGGGCGGCTCCCAGGGCGGGCTGGCTGGCCGGCCCGGTAGCGTCGCGCCCGGCTACCCCCACCGCCCTGACCAGCCCGCGGGGGCGGGGCTCCCGAGCGCACTAGAGTGACGCGACCTGTGACCAATGGCCGCGCGAGGCTGCCACCGGCAGCCAACCCGGGTCGCCAGGGGGCGGGGCGGGGCCTGAGCGTGAAGTGTCTTGCCCGACGGCGCCCTGCACCTCGCAGACGCCCCCTGCCGGGCTCTGGGGCCCGGCCAGCCCCTGCCCAGACGGCACTCTTGGCCTCTCCCGACCTGGGCTCGCCCTGGTCCAGGTCCAGCCCGAAAGCCCACGCCCTGTTTGTGGTCAGGGCCGCACCTGTGCCCACGCCTTGGCGGCTGCCAGGTTAACCTCATTGAGCAATCGCCACGGAACCCGGGCCCCGGAGGAGAGAGAGGAGGGTTTGAAGGTCCTAAAAGGCCCTTTGGGATTGGCCAGCCAAGCCCACCCAAGACCCAGGAGAGCCACAACCTCCTAGTCTTTTTATTTTATTTTTATTTTTATTGATTTTTTACAGAGAGGAAGAGAGAGGGACAGAGAGCCAGAAACATCGATGAGAGAGAACCATCAACGAGCTGCCTCCTGCACCACCCCCACCCCCCACCGGGGATGTGCCCGCAACCAAGGTACATGCCCTTGACCGGAATCGAACCCGGGACCTTCCAGTCCGCAGGCCGACGCTCTATCCACTGAGCCAAACGGTTTCGGCTCTCCTAGTCTTTTTTATTCGTAATAATCAATTACTAACAGAGGCGTAGTCAGCATGCCTTGTGTGCCAGACAGAGTTCACCAGCTCTTACAACATCGCGTCGGATAGATTCGGTTTCTGTTCCCATTTTGCAGAAAGAGGCAAGGGAAGCAGAGGTCACGGGGCTTAAGAGGAAGGCATGGAGGACTTGAACTCCTTACCAACCGCTCTGCCTGCAGCCTTTCCCGGGAGAGGAGCCGAGGAGATGAGCCTGGGACAGACAGCTGTCCTGTTTTGTGGGGTGACTGTTGCCGGCCTTTGTGTCCTTACAGGCTGTTGCTCCCCTCTGCACGCTGCCTTACGTCTGTACCTGCAATGAATGCGATGGACTCAAAGCCGAATGCTTGTTTTCACCTGGAGAGGAGACATCCCTTCCCACAGCACTTGAAAACAAAGTGATGGGGGTGGGTGAGCAGGCGCCCTCCCAGAGCGTGTGGGCAGAGGAACTGGGAAGTTGCAAAGGAAGCGGTGGAGGCTCGCAGGCTTCCTCCCTGAAGCAGGAGGCCGCAGGCCGGGGAAAACCCAACACCGAGAAATGAACCCGGGCTGCTGCTCAGAGCCCACAGTGGCCCGAGTTCCAAAGAGTCAGCAGCGGGGGGCTCTGGGAAGGGTTTGGAAACACGTTAAAATGGGGCGTCACTCGGCAAGTCCAGTGGAAAAGCGTGCTCTTGAGCCTGCCGGATGCTACAAACCCAGCAGCTGGGTCTGGCTTCTCCGCTCCAGGAAAATGAAGAGTTTGACTCGTCTCCTTCAAAGCCTAGGGTCTGCAGGGGGAGGGGGAGGTGAGCAAGGATGCCCTCCTTCCCACTGGTCCTTCATCTGGACAGGGAGAGGTTTTCCTACTCATGGCTCCACCCCCCTAACCCCCACCCCCTGCCTTGCAAAGGCCAGCTCTTGGGACCACTCGCCTCACACCACCTCCTACCCTTCGCGATGCCATAGGTCACTCCAGAAGGCCAGAGTCCGGCAGAAGCAGAGATGAAAAGGGAGCTTGCACCCCCTAAGCGAGCACCTCTCCCCCCTCCCCCACCCCACCGCATCAAAGCAGTTGTGGGAGAATTGCAGGGAGTGGTAAGAAGGAAGGAAGGCAGGCAGGAAGGAAAAGTTGAAGGATTCTACAGGACCGCTAAATCCATTAGCAAAACAGAACCACTCTTATTTGTCATTAAAGGAACCAATTTGACAGCTTCTGTTTGGGGCCAAGAAAGCCATACCTGAACTCTAGCATCTTCAGCAATTCCCGGCACACAGCGGGGCGTGGGCCACATGGGTGTGATGCTCCCTGGGAGGTCAGTGATGAGCGGCACCTGTCAGCCCGCTCTCGCCTCTCTACAGCGCTCAGCTGTGTCTGAGCTCCAGGGACTCATTAGGCCAGTGGTCGGCAAACTCATCAGTCCACAGAGCCAAATACCAACAGGACAACGATGGAAGTTTCTTTGGAGAGCCACATTTTTCAAACTTAGACTCCTTCTAACGTCACTTCTTCTAAATAGACTCGCCCAGGCCGTGGTATTTTGTGGAAGAGCCACACCCAAGGGGCCAAAGAGCCGCATCTAGCTCTTTCGAGCCACAGTTTGTGGACCACAGCACTAGGCACTGCAATATGGAGGTGAGGGAGAGCAGCACTCCATTCAAAGGCACTAGGAAGGTTGAGAACCACCGATTTAGACCTCGCCTGGGCCTACGTGTCTCTAAGATCTCATAGAGAGAGCGTGGTCTCCCTGGGATAGTCACATGACACAAACCATCCCCCAACTGCAATCTATATGTCAGAACGGTAGAAGGTTACCGGTTGAGACCAATCGTGCAGGAGTCCCTGAAAAGGTAGGACCAGTCTCGTGGTTCTCTGTTAAAATCGCACCTGCACCGTTTTGCACGCGGGTGAATTTAGCCAAGTTGCTCAGTCTCCCCAAACCTCCCCTTTTCCTCCCTCCGAGACGATAGTGATCCTTCCCCGAGGTCATGCTGAGGATTGAGCAACCCCCGCACCACACCTACGGAGTCGGCACGTCCCTGCACAAATCCCAGCTGCCTGTGCCGCTGTCCGCTGAGCCCACAGACCTGCACTGAGCCGGACTGTGGGTTCCAGAGGCTGTTTGAGGCCCAGAGCATACAGAGAAGACCCGTGTTCTCATGAAGCTGCAGTCATGGCCGTATATAGACAATAATATATAGATATACACATATACATATATACAGCCCGGACAGTGTGGCTCAGTGGTTGAGCGGTGACCCATAAACCAGGAGGTCACCGTTCAATTCCCAGTCAGGTTGCAGGCTTGAACAGTGACCTCCCACGGGGACAATGCTCAACCCACTGAGCCACACTGGCCGGGCTCCTTGTGCTGTCTCGACATCTTGACCCTCCCGGGGTCCCAGAATCTTAACCGTGACCTCCCATGCTCAGCAGACATGCAGGCCCCTCCCCAGCTAGTTCACCTGTCAGCCAGCCCAGCCGGGTCCTAACCCGGGGCCCCTGCCAGCCCACACAGCCATTCACACCAGCACACCTCATTCTCCCGCAGGAATCAGGGGGTCACCTCACCCTCTTGCGACTGCACAGCCTGCGCCCCACAGTCCTCGCTGGCTCGCTCCGCTCCTGAGTGCACCCCCCCCCAGCCCCCCACTTCCATGCGGCCCTCCCCAGGCTGTGAGCACATGTGACCATAAACTGCTGCCAGGCTCCTCTGCCCACTGGCAGGTGGCAGGTGGAAATCACCTCCAATTTCTCAGGGTGGGGTCCCCCCTTGCCCCAGCAGCAGGGCGAACAGGAGAGAGATGAGAACACAGACTTCAATGGCTTTTCTCATCAGTCAGAGCCTCGGTGCTGGCTCATTGGCGCCCTAACCTTCTGCGCTTCCGCTGGTGGGTCCTGGGGGGCGGGAGGGGGGCTCCCCACACCCCTGGCTCCCAGCCTTTCCTGCCAGATCACCTCCTTTCATCCCAGGCCTGGCCCGCAGGCGTGGCTGCGTCTTTCCTCGCCTCCTGCCTCCGCCAGAGCCTGGCCGAGGACCTGGCGCACAGTAGGCCTCCCTCCCTCCGGTGAATGTCCCCCTGGGGGCAAGCAGGGACCTTTCTCTGCCACCGGGCAAAGGCCAGGGCGTGGAACATTCTGGGTCTGATGCAACCGCTTGAAAACTCAGGCCAGAGTGACCAACCCAGAAAAATCCCAGAATGGAAAATCTATTTTATCCCGGGCTTCACACAGGAAGAAACACACACACACACACACACACACACACACACACACACACACACAGGAGGTCAGCAAGCACGGTTTTCCAGGTTCACATCAGCCAACCATCCAAACGACTTTTTTATTTATTTATTTTTTTAACGAGGCCTCATCGGTTTGCTCCCATTTGCAAGGAGGTCGGTCCCTGTGTTTGTCAGAGACGTCTACCCCTGCCGGGCGGTTGCACAACCCCTTGGCACGGCTCGCTCTGGTGCTGGTACTTGCCGCGGGCGAGATTTTTATGAGGCTTGATCCTTGTCTTGACTGCATTTGATCGTTTCTATCTGCGAGGCAGCGCGCACATGAAGGCGGACAGCGCCCCTCCGCCCGGGGTGGGGAAGGGCTCCAGAAGGCGATGGATAGAGTCAGTATCGGGCTCAGTATCTACAAGGAATGCGAACAGCCCTTGCGGGAGGCCCGCCCCGCGTGCCCCGGCACGTTGCGTGAATGGAGCGCCAGGCTGCAAGGGGCCCGGGCCTCTCCCGGAGCAGCCCTTTGCGGGCCGAGGCAGCTTGGAGGAGCTGGGCTCAGCGTGCCAAAAATGTACACGAAAAATCTAAAACGAAAAATAAAGCATCCCCCGTCCCCCTAGCCTTTGGGTCTGTAATGGGGTGCGTTTGGGAGCAGCTGCTCTTTAGAATACGTGGTCCCCAACGGAATACAGGGGCAGGGCTGAGGGGACAGAAGGACCCCGATGTTTCGCCTTTTGTTCTCTTATTTTTTAATATATATATTTATTTTTTTAAATGTATTCTTATTGATTTCAGAGAGGAAGGGAGAGGGCGAGAGAGAGATAGAAACATCAATGATGAGAGAGAATCATTGATTGGCTGCCTCCTGCATGCCCCCCGGTGGGGATCGAGCCCACAACCCAGGCATATGCCCTTGACCGGAATCGAACCTGGGACCCTTCAGTCCAGGTGCTCTATCCACTGAGCCACAAAAGCTAGGGCTATTTTTCAAAATATATTTTTATTGATTTCAGAGAGGAAGGCAGAGGGAGTGAGTGATAGAAACATCCATGATGAGAGAGAATCATGGATCAGCTGCCTCCTGCATACCCCCTACTGGGGAGCGAGCCCACAACCTAGGTCTGTGCCCTGACCGGAAATGGAGCCTGAAACCCTTCGGTGCATGGACAATGCTGCAACTCACTGAGCCACACGGGCCAGGACCATGATAAGAAACTCTTTGATGAAAGGGCCTGGGGCAGGAAATGTCAGAGGCCGCTCTCACTGGCATTTCCTGACCCACAGGTGGTTTCAATGCTCTGGCCGAGTCCATGCATGTTTGTTTGTTTCTCAAAAGCAGTCACCAGGCTAGGAAGAGTGTGGACCATTTAAAATGTTTTCCCGAGTATTCCTTTTTCTTTCCCAAAATTCACACAATGTAAACACACTATGAAAGAAAACTGCAAAAACATCGGAATGTAAAAGAGGCGAGGGATTATCGGATTCAACGGACAATTTAAAGCTTTTCTTTAAAATTACAGCCAAATCCGTTTCCAGTAAATTGGCACTATGTATATATGAGCCTTCAGAGAGGACCAATGCCATGGAATAAATATGAATATGTTTACCATCCTTTTTCCCACTAGTATTTTTGAGTGCCTACTATAAGCAAACAACATTGCCACCAACTTTGTGAAGGTAATAAAGTCAGTTCAGATGCGGCCCTGGCCAGTGTGGCTCAGTGGATAGGCTGTCGGCTGGTGCATTGAAGAGTCTCGAGTATGATTCCTGGTCAAGAGCAGGACCCTGGGTTGCAGGTCTGATCCATGGTGGGGTATGTGTAGGAGGCAACCAATGGAGGTGTCTCTCTCCCATCGATGTTTCTCTCTCTCTCCCCCTCCCTCCCTTCCACTCTCTCTGACAAGCAACGGAAAGGATAATTCAGATCTGGACTGAAGACAGATGCTAAGTCAGCTGCCAGCGAGGGTGATGGACCTACCTCAGGCTCCAGGGGAGTCCCTGTAGGGGCCGGGGACAGGGTTGCATCCAGGGAGGACCCCCTTTAGGGAGGCAAAAAAAATCCACCTTCTAGAGAAAACTTTAGGAGCAGGACAGCTCAGCAGGTCACATGTCAGGTGACACATGACAGCCCAGTCCTCACCCCAACAGGTGCTGGAGCACCTGTCCGCATCGCAGCCACAAATTCCGGAGCGTGTCACCAAAAGAACCCGGGGGCAGCTCTCTGGAGGGGGCGGGTGTGCGGTTGGGGTAACCACGGGGGCCCCACCTGCAGGTCACAGCTGTCCCAGGCCTCAGGAGAGCAGGCCACTGACCACCAGCAGGTGCCACCTGTGGCTGCGGGAACCCGGAAGCCATGCCTTGCTCGTCAGCTGCTGGGCGTTCTGGGAAGCGTGTGCTGTGGGCTGGTGGCTGCGGGGGGTGATGCTGGTGCTTCACGTTGGGGACCAGCCTGGAGACGGGCTGCGGCCCCGGAAATTATAGCCACGGAACGGCCTTTTCTGTCCCGCGTGGAAACAGTGCCCCTTGTTCCCGCCACATCTCCCATCAAAGGACTTTTTTTTTTAATCTCGAGAGGTGTGTTTCTTTTCTTTGCTTATTTTTAAAAATATATTTTTCTTGATTTTCAGGGATGAAGGGAGAGGAAGAGAGCGTTTAGAAACATCAGTGATGAGAGAGAATCCTCCATCGGCTGCCTCCTGCACGCCCCCCTGCTAGGGATGGCAACCGAGATACCTGCCCTTGACTGGAATCGAATCCAGGACCCTTCAGCCTGAGGGCTGATGCTCTATTCACTGAGGCAAACCGGCCAAGGCAGCGATCTTAGGTCCGGGATTCTAGCTTACAGAATATTTGCACAGATACATGCATGGAAGGGGCAACCAATCCATGTGTCTCTCTTACATTGATGCTTCTCTGCCTCTCTCTATCTCTCTCTCTTCCCCTCCCTTACACTCTCTCTAAAAACCAATGGGAAAATATCCTCAGGTGAGGATTCACAACAAAACATGTCTAGCTCTGAAAGTAACTTGGCTGGAGACTGCCAAACGGCCTCCATCCGAGCGGTGGCCAATGTTTTCCCAACAGAGTGTCCTTGAACTTCAAATTCCATCTCCTCAACACCACAAGGCTGCCGCCGGCGGCTCCAGACGGGAGGCCGGGGCCGGTTGCCTGTTCGGTAGCCTGGGAACTCCGGGGGACTTCCTCCAGGTCCATTGCCTGCGAGGCCCGGGTCTTTCCCGATCCTGTGGGAGAGGAGCTCGGTCAAGGCCAGCGAGGACCTGGCGGGTCCCGGAGCAGCAGGAAGCGGAGGCAGACATGCAGAGCTCCGAGCCCAACTCCGGGTTCCTCGCTGGGAGCCTGGGGCCAAGGACCCTCTTGGGATTCGCTTTGCTCCTTTTTTAGAAAGGATGTGCTGAACCAGGTATCTTATGTAAGTTCTCCTGCAGGGCAAACATGCTATCATTTTATGCTTTAAAAAAAAAAAAAAAAAAAAAGAGAACTGTGTGAGCTACACTGTTGAGAATTTTTAAAACAATCTAGAAAAGTATTAGACACATGATAATCCGGAAAACATCTTCAGGCCAAATGCAACTCGGGAAAAAAAAATTCTAGCTCGGCCGGTGTTGCTCAGTGGTTGAGCGTCCACCTATGAACCAGGGCATCCAGGTTCGATTCCTGGTTGGGGCACACACCCGGGTTGTGGGTTCGATGTCCAATGGGAGGCATGCGGGAGGCAGCCGATCCATGATTCTCATATATATATACACACTAGTAGCCTGGTGCACGAAATTCGTGTATGGGGGGAGGGAAGCGTCTCTCAGCCTGGCCTACATCCTTTCCAATCTGAGACCCCTGTGCGATCGGGCCTAAACTGGCAGTCGGACAACCCCCTTGCAATCAGGGACTGCTGGCTCCTAACTGCTCACCTGCCTGCCTGCTTGATGGCACCTAACCACTCTGCCTGCTGGCCTGATTGCTCCCAACTGCACCCCTCTACCAGCCTGCTCACCCCCAACCGCCTTCTCCTCCTGGCCTGACCCCCCCCACCCCCGCCAGCCACCTCTGCCTCGGCCCCGGCACCATGGCTTTGTCCGGAAGGATGTCTGGAAGGTCTCATGGTCTAATTAGCATATTACCCTTTTATTAATATAGATATTTCCACCATCAGATATATACATATAACTCCATATATATCTCTGGTGGTGGAATTTTCTTCCCTGTCTTTTTCAATTTCTGTACAATGAATAACGCATTCTTTTTGTGATCTGAAAAGAAAAAAAAAAAAAAGCATTTTGTGTGTTTTTCTTTTAAAAAAAACACACTGGAGACGGCAAGAGAGCCAGAAATAGAAACGAAACAACCCAAATTTTATTGTCACCGGGAGACCAGACGGAAGGCCCGGCATCCCACACGCTGTGGAACGTTGCGGGGCGTCAGGGGGGGGGTCAGGATCTCATATGACACATCTGACAGATGGACTCACCAGCCGCCCAGGGCCTCTCGGCAGCATCCGGGGACGGCCTTTCCAGGATGACTCACGGGACGGTGCCAGCCGGGCCCGGATCCCAGCCGTTTCCATGCCCGGCTCCAGCGCGGAGACGGCCTGACACTGCGGTTCTCCTGCAGTCCTCACGCCAGCCTGGCCTCCCCATAATGACGGCCTGTTCGAGGCAGAAAGGGGAAGGAGGATGTGACTAATGACATGGGGAGGGAGGATGGGAACGCCACCAAGAATTACAGTGACTTTGCTGGTCGGGGCGCACTGGCTAGGAACAGAGCCGTATGTTCCCAAACCCCAGAGGGTGTGGCCTGGCCCCAGGCACCAGAGGCCAAAATGAATCGGTCCACGGTGAGTGATGGGACTCGAGACTCAGGATGAGGCTACCGGCTGGTGTTGCGTGATGGTTAGAGCACCGGTCTGCGAACCTGAGGGTTGCAGGTTCAATTCGCAGTCAAGAGGACGTACCTGGGTGGCACATGTGGGAGGCAACCAATTGATGTGTCTCTCTCACATCAATGCTTCCTCTCTCCCCTCTCTCTCTGCCTCCCCTCTCCATTCTACTCTCTCTAAAACTCAATGAAAAAATATCCTCAGCCAAAACCGGTTTGGCTCAGTGGATAGAGCGTCGGCCTGTGGACTCAAGGGTCCCAGGTTCGATTCCAGTCAAGAGCATGTACCTTGGTTGCCGGCAAATCCCCAGTAGAGGGTGTGCAGGAGGCAACCGGTCAATATTTCTCTCTCATCGATGTTTCTAACTCTCTATCCCTCTCTCTTACTCTCTGTAAAAAAAAGTCAATAAAAAATATATTAAAAAAAAGCATATCCTCACGCATCAGGTGAGGATAAAACATAAAAACAAAACAAGTAACACATCATAGCCAAGTGGTGTTTATGCCAGGAATACAACTTTCCTTTAACATTGGAAAATCAAACAATGGAATTCTCCATGTCTAGAGAGAGAGAGAGAGAGAGAGAGAGAGAGAGAAACATCCATGATGAGAGAGAAACATCCATGATGAGAGAGAATCATGGATCTGCTGCTTCCTACATGTCCCCCACTGGGGATCCAGCCTACAATCTGGGCATGTGACCTGATGGGGAATCAAACCGGTGACCTCTTGGTTCATGGGTTGACACTCAACCGCTGAGCCACACCGGCCGAGTACCCCTACGTCTCTTTTAACGCATGCTCTGTTGTGTTGGAAGAACTGAATTGGTTGTAGAGAGGGCTGCCCCAGGCCCCGAATGGGATTGCTTGCTCGGGGCACTGTCTGTCCTGTGAACTGAAACTAGAGCTGAAAGCGTGATAGGTTTTGTTTGGTTTTGTTTTGTTTTGTTTTTCCCACTTTGGCGAGAATCCCTCATTGGCGGGGCCGTGTCGCTTCTACTGCGTCCAGCCAACGGGTACACGCCGTGTTTGGCTGTCTCGGTGTTGGCCATGTGGAGACGGATGGAGGTACTTAGGTATTTTCTGCCTGATTCATCTTTCATAAAGTTCCTCATCAATATTTCATCTCGTGACTTAGGCAGCCATTGACAGTCACAGGGGATGTATCCAGAGCCTCAGAAACAGTCAAATTCTCCGAGTCCAAAGGCCAAATCTGGAAAAGTAGACTAAGGGGGGATAATTCTACGTAACAGAAGTCTGGGAACGAAGATGTTTCTGGCCGCATTATTGAAGTAGCAAAGGAGGAGGAGGAAGAGGAGGAGGGGGAAGAAGAGGAGGGGATGAGGAAGAAGAAGAAAGAGAAAGAAAAAGAGAGAGAAACAAAAGTAAAAAGAAAGAAGCAGCAATCTGGTAACCCCAAAATATAGATGTATGGTTAACTAAATGGCTGTAAATCCCATAATGGAAGAAAGCAGGTATAGGATTCTGAGTCCTTTCTGGTTCTTTGTTCTTTATCATAATTTCCAGGTTTTTTTTTTTTTTTTAAATATGTCCGCTACTTTTATCATTTTTTAAAAAGTTATTACAATGAGTTCTTAGCCAGATGGCCTGGTACAGCAAAAATCTGGCTATTTGAAAGTAAAAGTGAATGAAAAACATTTTTTCCTCCCCCTAAGGTTATTTCTGGATCTAAAACTTCCTATTTCTCTGTTCCCTCTACTTAGCTACAACCCAGAGGCCTGCAATGCACATTTTTCTTCCAGGCACCAGTGCTTTGAGGGCAAAGTATTAATAGTATCTCTGAGGGGGTTGGGAGAGAAAGGGGTGAGAAGAGAAGATCTGACTTGTGTGTGTGTGGGAGGGGGGGGCACAGAGCAATATAAGATCTTATAACACAGAAACCCACACCTGAAATATGTTCATGCGGACCAGTGCCATCCCAGTCTAGTAAATAAATATTAAAAAAGAAACAAAAATAAAAATCTCTCTGGTGTGTGTAAAGGACGTTTTGGTAATATGAATAAGACAGTGAGATCTTAGAATGAAAATGAGGAATATCTTATTTCTTTTGCCATTTGCCTAAGACAAAGCTCTAATTTTCTATTGTTATTATTATTAAAAGAAAAAGAGAAAATACAGTGATTCTGATCCCCATTGGAATTAGTGCCTTCCTTTAAACATACATTTTGGTTTTTTTATGTTCTTGTAAAAAAAAAATGCATAGATAACCTATCTATATACATCATTTCAAAAAAGTTAGCATGCTTTAAAGATAACATCAAGAAGAAAGCAGGGCCTGGCTGTTGTGGTTCAGTGGTTGAGCATTGACTCATGAACGAGGAGGTCACCGGTTCGATTCCCGGTCAGGGCACATGCCTGGGTTGCGGGCTCCATCCCCAGTTTGGGGCGTGCGGGAAGCTGCCGATGAATGATTCTCTCTCTCATCATGGATATTATATCTCTTTCTCTCTCCCTTCCTCTATGAAATCAATAAAATATATATATATATTTTAAAAAAGTGGGATCTGAGAATTTTGAGGTCAAAGGGGAATCATTTGTCCTCACGTGAAAGCTGGAAAAGAAAGACTCAGAGAAATGAAAGCCCTCGAATTCAGGCACAAAATCTCCCCGCGGGGAAAACAGTTGCTGTTCTGGAAGGAAGTTCGTGGACCACGCAGTCAGGTGGGTGACTGAGTCGTCCTTCTGTGCCCGGGGCGAGTTCTGGCCACCCCTCCAATTTGCCTGCCTAATTGGCCAAGCCCCGCACAAACCAACCTGCAATTAGAGTTGTATTTTTAAATTGTCTAAGTTTTATGTGGCACTCCGCTCCCCTGCTCTCTCCTCCCCACCCCCCGCCCCCTTGCACAGTCTCGCCAAAATGCTGTTATTTACACAGAGGAAATCCAAAGAGTGGGTTTAAAATTACAAGTCCCATTCGAAGTCAGAAAAAGGAAGTGGGTTCTTGTGGGGGGGTGCACCTCCGGGCCGGAGGCTATGCAGTTACCCCAACCTCAGGACGCCACAACGCCCCGCGCCTGGGACAGCCAGGTGCCCCTGGAATGCAGGAGTCCTACTTCTGGTTTGTTCTGGGGGCAGGCGTTTTGGTTGGGGCTGATGGAGAGGAAGTTAGGTCCCCAGCTCCACAGCATTTGAATGTCAGAAGCAGCCTGGCCAGTGTGGCTCAGGGATTGAGCATCTATCTATGAACCAGGAGGTCACGGTTTGATTCCTGGTCAGGGCTCATGCCCAGGACCCCCAGTAGGGGGCGTGCAGGAGGCAGCCAATCCATGATTCTCATCATTGATGTTTCTCTCCTCCCTTGCTCTCTGAAATCAATAAAAAAAAATATTTTAAAAAAATGAATGTCAGAAATAGTCTCATTGCCTTCGCTGGTGCAACGTCCCTGACCCGCCCCCCACTGCAGCGCATGACATTTTCTCTGTTCTCCAAGCGACGGGAGACAGATCCCTCTGGGATTCACGCGCCTCTGCTGGGATTTTCACACCATTCGCCATGTTAACATGAAGCAACAGCTGGGCTGAAGACAGCTGATAAAAATAGCAACCTCACCCTGCAAGCTCGCTGCATGGAACAGAGGGGAAACAAGTTTTTAATGACGACTCTTACCTTTATCTTTTTTTAAATATTATCTTATGGTTTACAGATATCCCGTTTTCCCTCTTTTCCTCCTCTCCTCTCAGCTCCTATCCCCCACCCAAGGTGATTACTTTTTCTGAGTATAGAGCTGTGTTGTTACGTTGGTTTGTTGGGGGTTTTTTTGTTGTTGTTTTTTTTTAAATATGTTTTATTGATTTCAGAGGAGAAGGGAGAGGGAGGGAGAGAGAAACATCAATGATGAGAGAGAATCATGGATCGGCTGCCTCCTGCACGCCCTTTACTGGGGATGCAGCCTGCAACCAGGGCCTGTGCCCTGACCGGGAATCGAACCCTGACCTCCTGGTTCCTAGGTTGATGCTCAGCCCCTGAGCCACGCCTGTTAGCTATGTTGTTTTTGTTTAAAACATGTGCTTTTCCAGGAAGAGCAAAGTGAGTTTATCTTCCCCCTACGTGCTGTCTAGGAGGAGGTGGAGAGAGGCGGGCCCCTCCTGTAGCTCCCTGCTCCCCACTTGCGGGCAGCTGGCACCCCTGGCTGTTCGCTGGTAGCTCGCGGGGCCTGGCAGGGTCGCCTTTGGACGGCTGAGGTCACGGTGGGGACCATGGTCTTCAAGGCGGCTGTGTGTGCCAGCAGGAGCTTCCTGCTCTTACTCCATCTTTCCATCCATTAGCGTGGAGCTTGCAATTGAACATTCTGACATAACATAGCTGAGATGCTCGGCAGCCGCGCTAACCAGATTCGAGCGTTCCCTCCAGACGACGCTGAATTTTCATATCCTCGTGAATGCTTGCCACCTTCTTTTAATAACCTGAAAAAACAAGCTTCTCTCGGGAGCTGTGTGGCTCCAGTCTTTCCCCGAGCCCGGCATTCACTGCGTTTGGAAGGACGGGAGGGGTGTGTGTACTTACAGAGCCCTGGGTGGACCTGGGTGGGTTAGACTTCAACCTCTAACTTATAAAAAAGGCAGCGATGTGAATGGACCTTAGAGAGATGTTATTAGAAGTCTAGTATTTTCTTCATCGGACCTTATTTTTCCTCGTTCTAAGCTATGTGGTCATGTCACCACAGAATTCAATTTCTTTAAAAAGGGTATATTCACTAACTCTGAGCTGTGGGGTTTGAAAATAGACTTTTAATTAAAAATACATATACATACATATATATGTGTATATATATATATATATATATATATATGTAGAAAACTTACAAAGGGGAGGTGGTAAAGTGAGGGTTTCCTTCCTTCCTTTCCTCCATAGTGAAAAAAAAAAATTGTCTTACTATTTACAGTTATCTTAGAAGAAAAAAAATTCTGATGGAAAATTAGTTTAAACTTCTAGCTACTTAGACAACTGGAACTTCTAACCATTCATTTTTTAAAATATATTTTATTGATTTTTTTTTTTTTTTTTTTTTTTTAACAGAGAGGAAGGGAGAGAGATAGAGAGTTAGAAACATGATGAGAGAGAAACATCGGTCAGCGGACTGGAGGGTTGGAGGGTCCCGGGGTTCGATTCTGATCAAGGGCATGTACCTTGGTTGCAGGCACATCCCCAGTGGGGGGTGTGCAGGAGGCAGCTGATCGATGTTTCTCTCTCATTGATGTTTCTAACTCTCTCTCCCTCTCCCTTCCTCGCTGTAAAAAATATCAATAAAATAGATTTAAAAAGTAAATAAATAAAATGGTCAGCCACAGTCAGAGCGAGGGAGGGAAAGAGGAGGAACCGTCCAGGTATTGAGAAAAGCTACAGTGCATCATGCACATCCCGCTGTGGCCCCGATTGGTCCCACGGGCACCCCAGTGGGGGGCACCCCCCTCCTGAGGGCGAGCATCTTGGCAGCCTGCTCCGCCTCTCTTGCTTGCTGCGTGGCTCGCAGTCCACCGTGTGTGCGTCCCGATGCGTTGACGATGGATGAGATGGTGTTGGCAGGGCTGAGCCTGCTGAAGACACTCCTCGGGGTTCTGAGACCTTATTAGGAGAGCGAGCGTCCTTTCCATCCGGGACCCGCTGGGAAGACGGGTTGTGCTGCAGCCTTGAAGGCCGACCAGCCTGTTCCCATTTCCTGCCCGGAGCTGGCTCTCAGCACCACGCCGTGGTCGGGTCACGGGAGGGAAGGGCTGGCTGGGGGACCCCAGGCAAGACCCCTCTCGGGCCTCGTCGACTTCTCTGTGAATCAGTCCCGATGCTGCTGGCCGGCGGCGGGGGCTTCAGCGAGGCGCAGAGGATGCGACGTAAAGCCCCGGCCCCGGGCCTGGCCCGCAGGACGCAGCACCGGCCGAGTGCGTGCAGCTGGCGCTTTAAGGGGAGCGCGCACATCTGCCAACGTGTTTCCATCGTATTTATTTATTTCTATATTTCTCCCCTTCGCTCGGAGGAGGCCTCGCTCTGCTCAGCTCTCTGGACGCCGGCCAAGCCAAACCCACGCTTTCATCTTCGGGCCCCTGCAGCTGGCAGCCGCCCCGCGGGGGCTGGAGGCGCTGGAGTTGAGGCTCAGGCCGTCCTGGGCCATCAGGGCTGTCCTCGGGCGGCCCCTTTGCCCACTTGCTTGCATGTGAGACCGCCCTGGGCTGTGTCTCTGGTCCAGCAGAGGCCACGACTCTCTGCAGGCCAAGGGAGGTCAAGGGGGAGGCCCTGGCCGCTGCTCAGAGTGGAAACCACACACACACACAAAACCATCTTCCCAGGAGAGTGAAGGAAGGGGCCTTGGACATTTGAAACGATTCTCTCTGCTGGGCGGAAGTTGACCCGATGGTGCCGCCTCGGGCTCCGCTAGATGTATGGGACCCATCTACTGAGAGCAGTACCAGGAGGAATGCGTCCTGGGTTTCTTAGACGGCGCTTCTCAGACTCTGGCATGGATACGAGTCCCAGGGGCTTTTTAAGATGTAGATTCCAGCCCTGACAGGTTTGGCTCCGTGGATAGAGCGTCGGCCTGTGGACTGAAGGGTCCCAGGTTCGATTCCAGTCGAGGGCATGTACCTTGGTTGTGGGCACACCCCAGTAGGAGGTGTGCAGGAGGCAGCTGATGGATGTTTCTCTCTCATCGATGTTTCTAACTCTCTATCCATCTCCCTTCTCTCTGTGGGGAATCAATAAAATATATATATATTTTTAAACTCCTCACCTGAGGGTTTTTTTAATCATTGGTTTTTAGAGAGAGCAGAAGGGACGGGGAGAGACACAGAGAAAGAAACATCGATGTGAGAGACACACACTGATGAGTTGCCTTCCACACACATCCAGACCCGGGCTGGGGGATCCAGCCTGCAACCGAGGTACATGCCCTTGACCAAAATCGAACGTGAGACCCTTCAGTCACAGGCTGGCGCTCTATCCACTGAGCCACACCGGCTACGGCTGCTCCCAGCCTCTTGCCACCTGTCACAAGGCCAAGTATCTTTGTGATGGTCAGAGACCTCCTTTCCCAGACTGCCTTGCAGCTGGGGCTCCGAGCAGGGCCTCGCCTCTGCCAGGCCCATGCACCAGCTCAGTGACAGGAGGGAAGGGCCGTGGTGACCATAGCAACGCTGGCGGCCGCCCCTCCCTCTCTCCCATCAGAGGGCGGTGGCCCTCGGCGCAGGGCAGTGCCGGGACTCCCCCCACCCCGCGGCCCGGATCTGGTGTGGTTTGGCTTGCTGCCCCTCAAAGGGGGGTTTTGAACCTGCCCTCGAGGCCGCCACGGGTTGCTGTTAGCTGCCCGATGCTTCTTTGAAGAACCCCCTTTTCTTGTAACAGAGCCGAGCTGGTTTCTATTGTTCGCTACGCAGAACGTGGTTGCAGAAAGCATCAGTTTCCGGCCGCCCGAAGGGATGTCGCATCCCCTGTTCCTGAGATTTCTTTTCTTTAAGCTACTGTCTTTGTAGGCCTGCAGCCTCTTCGCAAAAAAAATGAAAGAAAAAGCATTTGAATTTCTAAGTGGATTTTTTTCTTCTTCTTTGTGACAGTAACAATACTCTGTAATAAGCCAAGTCTTGCCTGGCCGGTGTGGTTCAGTGGTTGAGTGTCGACCTAAGAAGCAGGAAGTCACGGTCCAATTCCTGGTCAGGGCACATGCCCAGGTTGTGGGCTCGATTCCCAGTGTAGGAGGCAGAAGACACATGATTCTCTCTCATCATTAATCCCTCTCTCTCTCCCTTCCTCTCTGAAATCAATAGAAATATACACTGAATGGCCAGATTATGGTGATCTCTGAACACATAATAATCTGGCCAATCAGTGTGTGTGTGTGTGTGTGTGTGTGTGTGTGTTAGAGGCCTGGTGCATGAATTCGTGCATGGGTGGGGTCTGGCCAGCCTGGCCAGGGGGAGGAGACCTGGGTGGTTGGCCGGCCTGCCTGCTGGTCAAACTCCTGGTCCAGGGGACAATTTGCATATCAGCCTTTTATTCTATAGGATATACACTAAGTGGCCAGATTACTGTGGGTTCAAAGATCATAACAATCTGGCCACTCAGTGCATTTTAAAAATGAAACCAGACTGTGAGGGCTGCGGCTTGGGGGCTGACCAGATGTGTGATGTTATGACCGCACTGGGCCCCTACTTCCTCTTTGAGGAGCGGCTGGTGCGGCCTGTGCGAGCCCTGTCTGCCGCCCCGTCTGCCGCTGTGACTCTGGCTTGCTTCCAGGTGGCTCCCGCAGGGGCTTTTGAAAGGAGGCCCCGGTTTCTCGTCGCTCTATAGACTCACAACATGGCGGTTGGCTTCCCCCAGAGCGAGCGACTCAAGAGAGAGGCACTGTGCCTTATTGTATCCGTCACACCGACAGTACATGGTGGAAGGGAACTTCACATGAGCGTGGATACTCAGAGGGGGGTGGGGATCACCGATGGCCATCTTGGAGACTGCCTGTCATGTTGATCCCAGTCTAACCAAGAAGTCCCTGGTTAGGTTAACCAAGAGGTCCCTGGTTCAATTCCGGGTCGGGGCACATGCCTGGGTTGTAGGCTCGATCCCCAGTAGAGGACATACAGGAGGCAGCCGATCAATGATGTTCCTCTCATCGAAGTTCCTCTCTCTCTATCCTTTTTCCTTCCTCTAAAAACCAATAACCAGTCCTAACTGGTTTGGCTCAGTGGATAGAGCATCAGCCTGCAGACTGAAGGGTCCCAGGTTCGATTCCAGTCAAGGGCATGTACCTTGGTTGTGGGCACATCCCTAGTAGGGGGTGTGCAGGAGGCAGCTGATGGATGGTTCTCTCTCATCAATGTTTCTAACTCTCTATCCCTCCTCTCTGTAAAAATAATTAATAAGATATACTTTTTAAAAATATAAAAAGACAATAAAACATACCAGAAAAAGATGAAGACCTTGAATCCTATGCACGTCCTTGCTTTTCTCCTCCTTCTCGGTGGCTGTCCCTGACTGAGCCTCGGTTGCCATCACGTTCAGGCATGGTAGCTGAGAAGAGGGAGAGAGGAGACGGTGGGATGAGGACGGCCCAGCTCCAGTCATTCGAAAACAGCTCAGAAACCAGCGGGTGGGAGCCACATGGTCAAGGGGAAGATCAGGCCCCGGAGAGGGGAGAGGTTTTCCTCAGCTCACGCTCCGGGAGGAGGAGCATGGAAGTGTCACTGTCCGACATCGAGTGGGGAGGGACGGGCCACAGGCTCAGGGGAGTCCCCCTCCCACAGGGCCCGGGGTGGGCACAGGGATTGGAGATGTTTGCAGCAGTTACATGGGCACATACACTGATCAACCCTCATCACCCCGACCACCTTATTCCCTAATTTATTATAACTGAATGTTAAAAAGAAAGGATACTGAATATACTTTTCTCAGAGTTTCAGTCTAAAGCAGATTAGCCTGCCCAGCTGGTGTGGCTCAGGGGTTGAGCTTCAACCTAGGAACCAGAAGGTCGCGGTTCGATTCCCGGTCAGGGCACACGCTTGGGTTGCGGGCTCCATCCCCAGTGTGGGGCGTGCAGGAGGCAGCTGATCCATGATCCTCTCATCATGGATGTTTCTCTCTCTGTGTGTCCCTTTCCCTTCCTCTCTGAAGTTAACAAAAATACATTTTAAAAAATTAAATAAAACTGATTAATATAGCACAGAATTAACAGGCAAGTCCCAGAGGCTCTGTACCTTCACACACACACACACACACACACACACTCACACACTCACTCTTAGATACACACACACTCACACCCACCACTCACATACACACACACACACACTCTTACACACACACACACACCCATACTCACACTCACACACACACTCTCACACACACACACACACACACTCACTCTTAGACACACACACACACTCACACACCCATCACTCACATACACACACACTCACACACACTCTCACACACATACACTCACTCTTAGACACACACACACACTCACACTCACACACCCATCACTCACATACACACACACACACACACTCTCACACGCTCCCCTATAACCAAGGGGTGACCCCACAGTGCGCCCTCTCTCCCCAGGTGGCTGCAGGATCCCCTCACTACCACCCCACCCCCAGTGGTCTCGAACTGCACTCCAGTCATCTCTGGCTCTAACCCTCAGCGCACCCTAAATCATGGTTTGTGTGTGTGTGTTTCCAGCAAAACACGGATGCTTTGCAAACCACTTTCCCCTCTCAAGGCCTCCTCCTTCCTCATTAGCTCCGGGCCAGCCAGGCTGCTTCATCAATAATGCAGCGCCCTCTCATCTCAATTATAAATGCGACGGCTCCTTGTTGGGAAGGACCGGCGGGCCCCTTTGGGGTTGCTTCCTCGTTCCCCCAGTCCGGCCACCCTCCCCCGGCCCCAGAGGCAGGGCCGCCCCGGTCCTCCGAGCAGCAGGCTGTGTCCTGGGCTCAGTCACTCGAAGCCCCCTCAGTCCTGCTGCCTCTCTCCGGCCAAAGCAGACGTGGCTGCCCCCTCTCTCCCTGCAGCCTGCGGGTCTGTGTGGGAGGCGCCCGGTGCCCACAGTCCCAGGCAGCGGCCTTGTACACAGCATCCTGCGCAGCGTGTCACCGGCCCCAGGGGACGGAAGCGGTTGACGTCAGCATACAAATCTCCATGGCTCTGAGTCCCTGCCTTCTTTCCTGCAGGGACTCTACGGCTCACACTCTCCACATATTTACCAGTGGGCACCGGTTAGGCCCGAGGGTGGCTCCCCGTCCCAGCTAGAAAAACTAGATATCCATAAAGCAGGAACACCGAGGGGCTGCCTCCTGCATGCCCCTTGCTGGGAATCACCCCTACAATCCAAGCATGTGCCATGACTGGGAATCAAACCAGGGGTCTTTGGGTGTATGGGATGACACCCAACCCATTGAGCCACACTGGCCGGGTTCTAAGCCACTCGGTTTGTGGTCCTTGGGTATGGCAAGCCCTAGAAGACAAACGCAGTTGTTCCATAAGAAGTCTCACGGCGCCGAGGCCTCCACACTGTAACATGACCAGAGCCACATACATGTGCTGGTGACAGTCCCAGCTGAGTCAGCATCAGCCGCCAGACATGTGAGTGAGGACATCTCCAGATGAGTCCTGCATCTCTCGGTCTCCCCAGACATCACAGAGCAAGAAGGTCCCTCTGTACCCTGTTGACGCATGGAGTCTGAGAGCATGCGTGCGTGCACACACACACACACACACACACGCACACGCAAGCTCCGAGGCTCCATGCAGCAGTGCTCATGGGAGCGGTGTCCTGGCCGTGCGGCTGGCGCTGGGGCTCCGTGCCTCCGAGGGCAGTCTGCTCCGCGTGCCAACTCAGCAGCCCGGTGTCTCCGGGGGTGTCTGGCAGGGAGGATCTTTGCTGAGTCTTGTCTTCAAGCGAGCACGGCTGGCCCCCGTGGCCGGGCGCTGGCTGACCCGGGAGAAGGACAGTCTGGCCTCTGAGGAAGCCAGCCACCCTCCCCGAGAAGAACTTTCTTCCGGCCTCCCAGAGGCAGCCGCCCAGTCTGACCACTTCGCAGAGAGCTCTGAGCTTACGTGTTCCCACGGTCATTTTGCTAATGACTTTGTGCACCTGAGTGCTGCTGGGAGGCGGAATGTAACCGGGAGGTGTCCTGGGTTTCAGTTCTGGCTGTGCAGCCCGGGTGGTATGGCTCCAGGGTTGAGCCATGACCTATGAACCAGGAGGTCACGGTTCGATTCCCAGTCAGGGGCACATGCCTGCGTTTCGGGCTCCATCCCCAGTGCAGGGCATGCAGGAGGCAGCCGGTCCATGACTCTCTCTCATCAAAACTCAGGGTCATGGAAGCCACCCTGGCCATGGCCAGGAGCCTGATCCAGGGCCTGTGTATCAGGTTCTGCCCACACAGACCTTCCCCCTTCGAGGCTTTTGGCAGGTAAGATTCATCAGGAAGATGGGCCACACTGGCCTCCCCTCCCCAGGTGGCCTCCAGGCTGGGCTGGGCTGGGCCAGTCTGTCTTCCAAGGCTCCCCTCAAGCACAAGCAGGACTGAAGGGTCATGGGTTCGATTCCGGTCAAGGGCATGTACTCAATCCCCGGCCCCATTCATTAGCGGTGCATGCGGGAGGCCACAAGTCCATGTGTCTCTCTCACATCGAAGTTTCTCTTTCTCTCTCTTCCCCACCCTAACACCATCAATCTCATCCCATCAATCAATGAAGCTAACCCAATCATCCAATAAAATCTAATCCAATCAGTCAATTTTCTCTAAGCCTTTCATCTCCTTTAAACTCATCATTGATTCAGATAAAACAATCAGTTCGATAATCCCATCAATCCAGATAAAACCCATCGACTCCCTAATCTCATCAATTTAGATAAACCCATCAACTCGCTAATCCCATCAATTTAGATGAACCCATCAACTAGTTAATCACATCAATTTTATTGAATTATATGTGTCCCTCAGCTGATCCTGCACCCTCTGTAATCTGGAATCCAGGACTGCTGGCTCCCAACAAAGCAACTTGCCTGCCTGTCGGCCTGATCATCTCTAACCACTCCCCTGCCAGCCTGATCCACACCTAACTCCTCCCCTGCCAGTCCGATTGCCCCTCACTGCCCTCCCCTACCAGCCTGGTCGCCCCCCAACTGCCCTCCCGTGCTGGCCATCTCGTGGCGGCCATCGTGTGTCCACATGGGGGCCACCCATCTCGTGTGTTGGAGCGATGGTCAATCTGCATATTACTTTTTTATTAGACAGAATGTTTCTCTCTCTCTCCCTGCGGCCATGCCTCAGGACCCCCGGCCTGCTTGTAGGGATCGGTCTGTGTTCTTCAAGGCCACCTCCCTTGGTTCCTGGGAGCATCTCCCCTTCATGGGGGGGAAGGTGGCTTAAAATAACCCCGAGAATGCTGAGCCCTTTCAAAAGTTCACTGAAGGGAAGAAAAGAAAAAAAAAAAGAAAAAGCGAGCTTCCAGACAAACCTAAGGCGGCGGCCTTGTCATTACCGGTTTTATTGTCCCGAGTGGCCTTGGGAGCCCTTGGCTTTGAAGCCGCGGAGGGTAGCAATTAGGCCCCTCGCAAACGGCGGGCGGCCGGCGGCGTGGCAGCTGTCAGCCTTGCCACGGGGCACAGGGCTGCGCCTCCTTCCCCATTCTGTGGCCACCGGGTCGGGTGTCTGCACCCGTCTGGACAGGCGGGAATGGGGGGGGGGGCGGGCTGGGTGAGCCCCACTCTTCACCCACCGCAGCCCTGAGGACTCCCCAAAAAGGGAAGGCAGACGGGGTGACTCAAACCGAGCCATCCTGCCCCCCTCCCCGGACCCTGACAAGCTCCTCGGTCTGGGGGCCAGATGGGATCGCTGCTCGGGGCTCCGGGGTGCGTGTGAGCCCCTTCCCCAGGCGCTGGCCCGGAGACCAGGCTGCGGGGTGCCTCGTGGAGGGGGGGCGGATTCTCGCTACACGGCAGCCTGCCTTGCGCAGGGAGGCGCTTTGTCGCGAAAGAAGAAGGAAAAAGGAAAAGAGCCCTCGGGGCTGGCTGCCGGCAGGCTGCTGGCTGGCTGCGCAGCCTCCCGCTGCCCCACGCGGGGCACGGCTGTCTAAATATTTGGCCTGATCCCGCTTTCTGATTCATCCTGTGCAGGAGCCTCTGTAATTCCACCGGCTGCGTGACTCAGAGGGGCAGACCGAAGTGAGTGCGGGGTGCGAGCAGCCACCCACCCGCGGAGGCCAGGCCCGCAGCCAGCGCCCCCTGCTCCCCTGCTCCCCCCACCCCACCCCGCCTCCCGGGCTCAGGGGGAGATGCGGGCGCTCCCCGCGCTCCCCGGCCGCGGGTCTCAGATGAAATCTCCTTTGTGTGAGATGATTAATGGAGCCCCGAACACGCCTGCGAGCGCTAGGGTGTGAGGTGCACTTTGTACCTTTTCCAAGGTTTTTTTTTTTTTTTTTTTTTTAATGCTAAATCCATTTGCATCTCATAAATTATAGTGGCTCCAAAATGAAGTGTGCCTGACAGCAGCAGGCAGGGTGTGGGTGCCACTGAAACCCCCCCTTTCCCGCTCCCTGCTCCCCACTCCCGCCACCCCCTCCCTCTGGCTCTGAGACCCTAGGAGAAAGCCTGCCTGTCATTCAGAGGAGGGGGGGGGGGGCGGGCAGCAGAATGACCTAGATTCCGAATGTGCCAGACAGGTAGAGCTTGCTGCTGGGCGCGGGGTAGTAGGACTGGAAGGAGCCTGCGGGAAGGGCCTGTCCCCGGTTCCTGCTGGGACCCGCCCTCCCAGGGAGGCCATGGCTGCCTCCTCTTTCTGTGCATCGGGCCCCTGAGCCCAGCTCCTACCCCCGCCAGGGTCCCTGGGTGATGCCGCCTGGGCGGGGGGTGAGGGAGGGTGTGATGGACATCAGAGCGAAGGTATTCCCTGTGCAGGCGTGTGGAGCAAGGTAAGGGGGCCTCGAAGGGGCAGGGAGGGGTGGGGATGGCAGGGAGGGCACCAGGGTCTCCAGGAGTCGAAGTCAATGGAATCCCAAGCCGCTTCCCACCACTTTCCAGCTGTGTGGCCTTGGATAAGCAACTTGCCCTCTCTGAGCCTCTCTTACCTCATCCACTCATTCATTCTAAGCCTATGTTACACACACACACACACAAGATTGATTTCAGAGAGGAAGGGAGAGGGGGAGAGAGAGAAACATCAATGATGGGAGAAAATCACGGATTGGCTGCCTCCTGCACGCCCCCTACTGGGGATCAAGCCCAAAACCTGGGCATACAACCTGACCAGGAGTCGAACTGTGACCTCCTGGTTCCTAGGTCGATGCTCAACCATGAGCCGCACCAGCTGGGCTCCACGCCTATTATCTGAGCGCCCCCTCTCCGTCAGGCCTAGCCACCCCCTCAACATCCACATTCTAGACGCAACACAAATAAACACGCGAGGTGGTGTGGGACCGAGAGCCACAGGGCGCTGTGCGGGGCTGGCTGAGGCTGGGAGGCAGAGGGGCTCAGCTTGGGAGACGGAGAAGGTGCCGAGGGGCAGGCAGCGTGGCGGGGGGAACCGGTGTCCCCGCTGCTGTTCCTATTATCGGACCCCAGAGTACATGTGGGGGGGCGGGGGAGGACGATGCTGCAGGACAGAGTGACAAGAAGCTGGGAGGAAGACGGCTTCAGAGCCGACACTAAGCCACATCGCGACCAGAGACCCGTCCCTTCCCGCCAGGCCGCCCTCCCTCCATCCCGGGCCCCGAGGCCCGGCGGGCGGCACTTCACCCGAAAGGTCGGCCAGCTAGAGTTTCACGGGCGGGCATTCCAGGCCTGGGGCCCGCGCAGGGAGCGACCTGCCCGCGGTCAGGCCTCCAAGTTCCCGTCTGGGACCAGCTGCCCAGCCCAGTTGGCCTCGGCGGCTGCCAGGCAGGGGTGGGGCGGGCTCGGCGCGGGGGAGGGGGGGGGCCGGCCCCAGGCAGCTGTCCTCGCCACGAGAACCTGAGAAGAGGGCAGGGGCATCCCAGGCTCCCTGCGGAGGGGACACCGAGTGTGCACGTGTGTGTGTGTGTGTGTGTGTGTGTGTTTAAGTGTATGTGAATGCACATAACACGCACATGTGGGATTTACTGTCGTTATGTGTTTGCTATTCTGTTTCACGTGAGTTTCCTGAATGATGGCAGGGGCTATGGTCTGCCCCCGTTGTATGAGTAAGATAAAAACAAGTCTCAGGGAGCCCTGGCCTGTTTGGCTCAGTGGTTAGAGTGTGGGTCCGTGGACCAAAGGGTCTTGGGTTTGATTCCCAGTGAAGGGCATGTACCTCGGTTGCAGGTTCAATCCTTGGTCCCTGTCCGGGCGTGTGTGGGAGGTAACGAGTCGATGTGTCTCTCTCACATCGATGTTTCTCTCACTCCCCCTTGCTCCCCTGTCCCCTCCCTTCCGCTTCTCAAAAGATCAAAGGGAAAACTATCCTTGGGTGAGGATAAAAGACAATTTTGTGTGAATCTCTATTTTCTAAACCCTCTACAATGGACATATATTACTTTTGTGGTTATAAAAGGTAGTCATATCAGAATGGATTTAAGCACACACACATAACACAAGACTAAGGAGGCCCACTGGCAGAGGACAGAACAGAAGTCCAGACTGAGTCCTCCTACCTTCAGGGACGCCAGGAAGCCGAGGACACGGGGTGCGGCTGGCTGGCCCCTCTCCTGCTCCCAGCTTTCGTCAGGCTCCGCCCCAGGAACAAGAGGAAGTGTCCTGTGCTCAGGGCTGACAGAGAGTCCACAGGAGCAGATGCAGGTTAAGCAAGGCCCCTCTGGCCTCCCTGCCCACGCCTGTGCTGCCTGTACCGTGCCCCTGCCCCCGAGCGCCCCTGCCCCCGCATGGCCGGACCCCCAGGCCCCCGCAGCAGACGGTGGGTGGGCCCCATCGGAAGCCCGCACTCAGCACTTCCCGCCGCCTTCTCCTTCCTCTTCCACTGGAGGAGCGATGGTCTTAGGGTCTGCGTCTGCCTCCTCCGGGACACAGTGTGCTCATTCTGTCCCGTGAGCTGCTATTGTGTGTGTGTGTGTGTGTGTGTGTGTGGTGTGAGTGGGGGTGTGTGTGTATGTGTGTGTGGTGTGTGTGTGTGTGGTATGTGTGCCTGTGTGTGGTGTGTGTGTATGTGTGTGGGTTGCGCGTGTGTGTGTGTGGTGTGTGTGTGGTGTATGTGGTATGTGTGTCTGTGTGTGTGTATGTGTGTGTGTGTGGTGTGAGTGGGGGTGTGTGTGTGTATGTGTGTGGGGTGTGTGTGTGTGGTGTGTGTGGTATGTGTGTGTGTCTGTGTGTGTGTGTGTGGTGTGTGTGGTATGTGTGTCTGTGTGTGGTGTGTGTGGTATGTGTGTGTGTCTGTGTGTGTGTGGTATGTGTGTCTGTGTGTGTGTGTGTGTGGTGTGAGTGGGGGTGTGTGTATATGTGTGTGTATGTGTGTATGTGTGTCTGTGTGTGTGTGTGTGTGTGTGTGGTGTGAGTGGGGGTGTGTGTGTGTATGTGTGTGGGGTATGTGTGTGTGTGTGGTGTGTGTGGTATGTGTGTGTGTCTGTCTGTGTGTGTGTGGTGTGTGTGGTATGTGTGTCTGTGTGTGGTGTGTGTGGTATGTGTGTGTGTCTGTGTGTGTGTGGTATGTGTGTGTGTGTGTGTGTGGTGTGAGTGTGTGTGTGTGTGTGTGTGTGTATGTGTGTCTGTGTGTGTGTGGTGTGTGTGTGTGTGTGTGTGTGTGGTGTGAGTGGGGGTGTGTGTGTGTATGTGTGTGGGGTATGTGTGTGTGTGTGGTGTGTGGTATGTGTGTGTGTCTGTCTGTGTGTATGTGTGTGTGTGGTGTGAGTGGGTGTGTGTGTGTGTATGTGTGTGTGGTGTGTGTGTGTGGTGTGTGTGGTATGTGTGTGTGTCTGTCTCTGTGTGTGTGGTGTGTGTGGTATGTGTGTCTGTGTGTGGTGTGAGTGGGTGTGTGTGTGTCTGTGTGTGTATGTGTGTCTGTGTGTGTCTGTGTGTCTCTGTGTGTGTGTGGTATGTGTGTCTGTGTGTGTGTGTGTGTGGTGTGAGTGGGTGTGTGTGTGTGTGTATGTGTGTCTGTGTGTCTGTGGTATGTGTGTGTGTGTGTGTGTGTGTGTGTGTGTGTGGTGTGAGTGGGTGTGTGTGTGTATGTGTGTCTGTGTGTGTGTGTGGTGTGTGGTGTGTGTGTGTGTGTGTGTGGTGTGTGTGGTGTGTGTGGTATGTGTGTGTGTGTGTGTGTGTGTGTGTGTGTGTGTGTGTTGGGATGGGGAGCAGGGCTCCCTCTCATTTCCCACCGTTATTTCCAGCGGGGAAACAAAATGCATCGCGAACCGGGCCAGGGCGGGCTCGGAGGCGCTGCCAGCCCGGCTGTGCCCAGCTTCCTGCGGCCGCGTGGCCAGGAGGGCGGCGTGGCCGGCCAGCCCTCTGCAGGCAGCGCCTCCGGTGGGAGCGGCATTTCTGAGGGGCACGGGAGGAGCTTCACAGAAACGAATGGAAGCCGCCCTTGTATCTGAGGGAAGTTTAAAGACACATAGGAAATGGAGCCTCAGACTTTTACCTTCGGAGCAGTGAGCCTGGCAGAGCTCTCTGTCCCCCTCCTTTGTCACGGGGACGAGTCCCGGCCACGCTGTCCCTGCGGTTTTGTCGCCGTCCGTTTGGAATGGGCAGGGGTGGGGCAGGGAGGGGCGTGTTCCAGCGCGGCTCTCTGACCTGGCGTCGAAGGAGACAGAAGAAGAGGGGCTCAATGGATGTCCCTGGGGCTTGGGGTTGGCGTGGGATCCTATAAAAGGCAATGTCCTGCCTGGCCGGCATGGCTCGGTGTTTGAGTGTGGACCTACGAACCGGGAGGTCACATTGATTTCCGGTCCGGGCACGTGCCTGGGTTTCGGGCTCCAGCCCCAGTGTGGGGTGTGCACGAGGCAGCCGATCCATGAGTCTCTCTCATCATAGATATCTCTCTCTCTCTCTCTCTCTCTCTCTCTCTCTCTCTCTCCTCCCTCCTTCCCTCTCCCTTCCTCTCTGAAATCAATAAAAAAATATTTTTAAAAAGGCGATGTTCGCTTCGAAGTGACACACACTGAACTCGGAGTGGTCCCTGGGCCTCGGGCCACGGTACAAACAGTGCTGGGGCCTTGAGCTGCCACCCTGACACGGGCAGCTGCTGGGGCCGTCGGTCCCCGGCCACCTGGGTCCCTGGCCGGAACGGGGACAGCTCACAGCCAGCAGCGAACACGCCACCTGCGATCTTTACCCTCTGACTCGGGGGGAGGGGTGGGAGCTGTGATGTCCAGTGAGGTCAAGGTCAAGACGTGGCCTTGAGAGTCACCAGCCACGCGCAGATTATCGGGGTCAACGCAGAGCCGTCCGGACAGATGAATTACACCCAGGAGCCCAGCGCCTGTGCGTGTCCTTGGGGCTGACATTGAGAGGTTCAGTTATCGCAGGAGGAGAGGAATGCCTGCTTAATTCTGAGAGGGCTTAATTACCGCGATAAACGCCCTCGGAGTTTAACTCTTCCTGTTTCAGCTGGTGTCAGAACGAGGGTTTCAACCTCAACCGGGTGTGAGTGGCCCTGCTGGGACACTTGGGGAGGGTCCCTGGGCAGCAAAGTCCAGTGTTTCAAATTACGCATCGTCCTCACCTGGGACTGTCAGGGCACTTTTGGTCACACGTGACAGACACTCACCCCAATAAGCCTATGACATTACTTAGGAGGAAAATGGGCACTGGCTATTGGGGAACCAAAAATCCACCAATCTGCCCCATTCCAAGTCCTGGTCATTCTGCCTACAATATATATCTATACTAATAAAAGGGTAATACGCTAATTAGACCAGGAGACCTTCCAGACATCCTTCTGGACAAAGGCAGAGGCGTTTAGGGGCAATCAGGCCAGGAAGGGAGGGAAGTTGGGGGTGATCAGGCTGGCAGGCAGAGTGGTTAGGGGCGATCAGGCAGGCAGGCAGGCAGGCGATTGGTTAGGAGCCAGCACTCCCGGATTTCGAGAAGGATTTCAAACTGCCGGTTTAAACTGGCAGTCGGACATCCCTCGAGGAATCCAAGATTGGAAAGGGTGCAGGCTGGGCTAAGGGACGGCCCTCCGTGCACGAATTTTGTGCACTGGGTCACTAATATATATATATATCTGGGTCAGGTACATTTTAAATATATTTCTCTGGTTCCCTGGCCTCTACCTCATCCGGTGGTGTCTTACCCGCCCCAGCAGCCGGCCTCTACATTTCCTCCACCTCCTCCTCACGCCTTCCCCTCTGCCCAGGACTCACTGCCAGAAGCACACACTGACCTTGGGACTGTCCTGTGCACAGACCTCCGACGGCTCCTGACCACCTGCAGAGCAAGCGCATGTCAGCATGGGGCCCTGAGCTTGCTGCCTGGCCCCATGCCCCCCACTTCCGGTTTCAAATTCGGGTTCCCACCTGCCTCCATGCCACGGCCCATGCTGATTCTATCACTTGGAAAACCAGCTGATCTTGCCCGACCTGTGTGGCTCAGGGGTTGAGCATCAACCTATGAACCAGGAGGTCATGGTTCGATTCCCGGTCAAGGGCACAGGCCCGGGTTGCAGGCTCGACCCCCAGTGTGGGGCGTGCCCAAGGCAGCCCATCAACGATTCTCATCATGGATGTTTCTATCCCTCCTTCCCTCTCCCTTCCTCTCTGAAATCAATAAAATTATTAAAAAAAAGAAAATCACCTGTTCTTGCTCTACCCGTCCCCCTCTTCCGCACCCTTTCCCAGAGCCCCAGCCATTTGCGATCTCTTCTCTAAGCAGTCTCCCCTCCCCCGCTTCCTCTCCCCCCTTCCGCCTCGGCAGCTGTGATTGGCAGGATGTCCTCGCACCCTGGGGATCTGACTGCCTGGATGGTGAGAGCCTAGAGGGCGGGGACTCGGCCTACCCGGGACCCACTGCGGAGCCTGGCACGGTGACTGGGCGTCTCCTGGAACCCTGGCATGCTGGCCCCTCCTGCGCCTCCGCTGGGCTCCCGGTGGCAGGGAAAATCCCGGCCGACAGAATTTCCTGTCCTCCCGCTCCCGCTCAGATCTTCTTTGTCCCAGATCCTTCCTCTCCCGGGGAGCGCCTTATCTGAGGACAGTCCGGCGCGGGGCAGCCGGCCCGGAGGGGCCATCCTGCCGGCTTCCTGCCTCGGCCGCCCTGGATTCCAGTCAGGAGATCTGAGTTTGCGGCCAAGCTCTGAGTCGCTTCTCGGCTCGGTGACCTTGGCCGTGGCTTTCACCTCGGCTCAGCCTCGGTCTCTTAATCTGTAAAATAAAGGGTGTTCGTGTTCAGTGTGGGTTTGTGGGAAGGGAAACTATCAACCAATCTCCTCCCATGAAGAATTTTAGGTAAACCTGTTTTTAAATACGTTTTTATTCATTTCAGAGAGAGGAAGGGAGAGGGAGAGGGAAACTTCCATGATGAGAGAGGATCATGGATCGGTTGCCTCCTGCACGCCCCCTACTGGCGATCGAGCCCACAACCTGGGCTTGTGCCCTGATGAGGAATCGAATCGTGACCTCCTGGTTCATAGGTTTGACACTCAACCACTGAGCCACATGGGCTGGGGGGATCAGCATCGGATTTATAACAAAACTCAATAACATAGATTTCTTTAGATACACATCCATCACAGCAGGCGAGGTGCCTGTGCACCAAAATCCCCCCGCTGGTCGCTGGGAGCAGAGCAGCTGCTTGGATGGGCCCCGGGGGGATGACGGATGGGTTTTCAAGGAGGGACAGGTCAGGTGGTTCCCAAGGGGAGGAACGTTGCAAAAATGTTCAGAACTTGCAGAGACGGTTCCCTGGCCAGCAGAAGTTGTTCCCCAGCGTCTCCTTCCGATCTCCACTCCCCACCCCTGGCCTGCACCTCCAGAGGCAGCTGCCTCTATTCTGCTCCTGACACCTCCCGCAGCTCCGCTAATAAATTCCTATCAGAGACACGTCCTGCCCATGGCGACCATCTCGCCTTCCGCCACCCGTGGCTTCGCGACCTGACAGTCAGGGCGGCAGCCAGTAATCACAGCCGGTGGCAGCTTCCAAGGTTCACCTGGTCTGTGCGCCTCCCCTGCCAGTCACCCCCACCTGGCATTCGGGGACCAAGCAAAATGTGGGGCTTGGCCCCGCTGGTGGGGCTCGGCGGTTGAGTGTCGACCTAAAGAACCAGGAGGTCACGGTTCCATTCCCAGTCAGGGCACAGGCCCGGGTTGCAGGCTCAGTCTCCAGAAGGGGGGCATGTACAGGAGGCGGCAGATCCATGGTTCTCTCTCGTCATTGATGTTTCTCTCTCCCTCCCTCTCCCTTCCTCTCTGAAATCAATACAAATATATTTTTAAATGTAAAGAAATAGAGGATGTCACCATGGAGCAGCCAAGGTGCCAGGAGGAGTAGAATTGGGGGTGGAATGGGGAGTGATGGTCTGGGGAGGAGGCAGCGGGATTTATGGGCCCGGAGGCCAGGGCAGAGGGCCAGACTGGAGATATAAAGTGGGAGGCATCAGCTGGCCGGGACATTCTTTTCCCGGCTACTTCATACCTGGCAGAGGCCCCGCTGCCCGGGGGAGGCAGAGGCCTGCTCCCCGGGTCTCCTGCCCACCTGCCCTCTCTCCTTCAGAGACAAGCAGCTGGTCGGGCTGTGGGCTCCGTCCCCACCAGTCAGGCCCCTGGGCTGGCGAGCTCTCTCTGGATTTGGGCCTTAAACAGAACTCTGATCACAGCCCCCTCCCGCCCCCCAGCCCACTCAGGGCTGCCCACCCACACGGGCCAAGTGTCCCAGCAGGAATGCGGTGGCAGCTGGGCCCGGGTCACAAGACAGAAACACCCAGGACACGTATGTCGGGCTGGGGAGCGCCTCCTGAGAGGGAGAAGCCCAAACAGGCCACGGGGGTGGGAGTGGGGGTGGGACGGGCGGGGGAGGGGCAGCCCGGAGGAAACCAGCCCCGGTGACTCACCCTGCACTTGTGTTTGGCGCAGCCCCCAAGCGCTGTCACAGAAAACAGAGTCCCCATGGGTTTATCTCCTCCCGGAGGAGGCAAGTCAGCAGCGAGAGGTGGCAGAGGAGGGAGGCCAGGCGCTCCTGCTGGGGCCAGGGTCAGCTGGGCGTGGCGGGCAGGGGACCGGAGCGCCCGATCCCGGGGTGGAGAGAGACTCCCACACAGTCCCAGCTCGCATTGGCCCGGGGCTGGTGGCCACAGGTGAGGAGGAGCGCCTGCAGAAATGGGGAGGGGTAGACAAGTTACAGACTGAGGCGCAGAATTTTCGAGGCGCTGTGTGAACATCTCCATGGTGACGCTGAGCTGAGCGTTCAGCGCGAAGCCTGGGGGGGCACAGCACATGCCTGGAGTGCAGGCTGGACCCCCAGTGTGGAGCTTGGTGGCCCCCAGAGGTGTCTGTGCACACCTGCCCAGCCATCCTGGGGCCCTGACGTCAGGCCCCCACCCCACTTCTCCATCTGAGTGGCAGGAATTATGTCACAAGAGATGGGTTCCCGCTCTCGGCACAGGTGTTTGGGAAAACCCCTGCGTCACACTTTAGAAAATAGGACCAGCCCTAACCGGTGTGGCTCAGTGGATGGATCATCAGCCTGCGGACTCAAGAGTCCCAGGTTCGATTCTGGCCAAGGGCATGTACCTTGGTTTCGGGCACATCCCCAGTGGGGGGTATGCAGGAGGCAGCGGATGGATGTTTCTCTCTCATTGAGGTTTCTAACTCTCTATCCCTCTCCCTTCCTCTCTGTAAAAAAATCAATAAAATATATTTTTTTAAAAAGAAAATAGGACCAGCCCGGCTGGCGTGACTCAGCGATTGAGCATCGACCCTAGGAACCAGGAGATTAAGGTTCGATTCCAGGAGGCAGCTAACCCATAATTCTCTCTCATCATTCTCTGTCTCTTCCTTCCTCGTTGAAATTGCTGGGTTGTCAGCTGCCTGTTGAGCCTGGCGGGGTGAGGACAGGAGTGGTGGGGACACCAGGCCCAGAGTGGGGGGCGTCACGCACAGCCCCTGGACGCCCTGGGGCGGGCCTGTGGGGCTGAGTGTGTGCTGGGTCAGGGGCCGGTGAGACCGAGAGGCCTCCAGGTCAGGGGGGGCCCCTCCTGCCGCTCCACGACCGTTGGGACTTGGGATTGGGCTCAGCTGCCTCTGCCGACCACGGCCGACCACGGCCACTCATAGAGGTTTCGGTTCCTCGCGCAGCCAGGCTGCAGCAGACAGGGCTGGGTGGCCGTGGGAGGGGCACGAGGGAGCCAGGCTCCGCGGAGCTCCGGGCTCTGCCATCCTCAGGCAGCCGGCGGCCGCCCCTGGCCGGGCCTCGCTTCTGCACTGCGGCAGGAGGAGCAGGAAGAGCAGGAGACAGGGTGGTGACCGTGTCTGGGGCCGGTCCTTCCCCTGAAGCCGGCACGCTGCCACGTGCCACTCACTGGTGAACTCGGTCACGTGAGGTGCCAGCTGCCGGGGAAGCTGGGGAGTGGGGCGCCCCGAAGCCAAGTCCAGGTGGTGAGGCAGAGTGGGGAGGGGGGTTGGCTCCCAGGCTGGGACCTGCCCCCCCCCCCCCACCTACACCTCTCCTTGGCCACTCCACAGCGGGGTGACTCACACCACCACGGGCTTCACAGGTCACAACAGGGCCCCCTGGTCCTCCCTGCCCCCTGCCATGGCCCAAAAAGCCCAGGACACTTCCCAAGAGGCTGTGCCCTGGGGAGAGAGGCACCGAGGGACACATCCCTGTGCCCAGAGCCTCGGGGTCTGTGACATTCCCTGACCACCCGCTGGTGCTTTTAAGAATCAAATGAGGCCCAGCCAGTGTGGCTCAGTGGTTGAGCTTCGACCTATGAACCAGGAGGCCATGGTCAGATTCCCAGTCAGGGCACAGGCCCGGGTTGCAGGCTGGATCCCCAGTGTGGGGCGTGCAGGAGGCAGCCGATGGATGATTCATTCTCATCATGGATGCTTCTCTCTCTCTCCCTCTCCCTTCCTCTCTGACATCAATAAAAATGAAACAACTCAAGATAAAAAAGAATCACTGTGAGGACAGGACAGTGGGCAGAACGGGAGGGTAAAAGCCTGGCCAACATGACAGACGCTCAGCCCTGGCTTGCTTCCTCCACGTTCCTCATACTCACCCAATCCAGGCCTCGTCTCCCTGCGCCCAGGATCTGCGCCCTCGTCCTCCTCGCTTCTGCTGCTTCCGGTGGGTGCTGGGGTCCCCCCCGAGCCGTTCCTGGACCCCCTGGGCTGGGGTCTCTGTCCCCACAGCCTCCGCCCCGCACGGCGGCCCAGCCTCCATGCTTGGCGGTGCGGGGGGGGGGGGGGGGGGGGCGCCGAGTCCTGGGCTGCGTGGCGTCTGACCTTGGCCGTCCGTGGGCCGCTCCCGGTCAGCACTTTCTCACCTGTCAAGAGGAGATAATAACGTTACCTCCACTCAGGCACGGCCGGGAGGGAAGGCAAACAAAAGTCCCAGCGCCTGGCCAACCTAAACAGCACTGGAAATGCTTCGTAATCAAAACGCTTTTTCCCCCTTTTGAAAGCAGAAATGGAGGGGGGATGCGGAGGACCGAGAGAGGGCAATGCGGTCACGGCCGAGGGGGCGGGTGGAGAGAGGACCAGGGAGAGAGAGCAGGGCCAGGCACTCAGCAGGGGGCTGGGGGCAGCCCCCTGGGAGGCCGGGAGGTGCATCTGAGGTGACTGCTGGCTGAGGGAGTGAGGGCATCCACCTGGTCCTCAGTGACCCGCAGCCCTCCCTGGACCTGTGAATCAGACACTCGGGGACACGCCCACCACGCTGTGTGAATGAGACCCCCCCCCCACCCCCCGGGACCCTGCTGCACCCTCAGACACAGAGGAGGAAGGAGACCGTGGCAGGCAAACTTCTCTTTCTTTTTAAAAAAATATTTTTTAACGATTTCAGAAACCGGAAGGGAGAGGAAGGGAGAAATAGAAACATCCATGATGAGAGAGAACCATGGATCGGCTGCCTCCTGCACGCCCCCACACTGGGGATGGAGCCCGCCACCCGGGCCTGTGCCCTGGACCGGGAATCGAACCCTGACCTCCTGGTTCAGAGGCCGATGCTCCACCACTGAGCCACACCGGCCGGGCAGGGAATCTTCCTTGATTTACATTTTCACGTAGTTAGGACCACATACTTCTCCACCCCGCTCAGCACTCCTGGGGACCCCTTCCTCTGTTCCCTGCAAGCTGGTGGCCCTGACACCAAGCAGGCCGGGAGGGTTCGAGCCCCTGGAAACGACAGGACGGGCTGGGAAATCCGGGAGGCGGGTGCCGGTTCAGACCGAGGCTTTGCTCGGGGCTCAGGATGGCAGCGAGCTGGAGGAGGCACCGACCAGGACAGCGCTGCTGGCCCAGTCCAGGGGACCGCCCTTCCTTTGCTATCCCCTCGGGTCCTGATGGAGGCGCTCCATGCAGGGCCGGGGCCTCAGGGCCCTTCCACAAAAGGGGGGCTCCCCTCGGAGACTCCCAGACCTCCTTCCGCGCCTCCCGATTCCCCAGCTGGCACCGCAGCGCGGAGCTGGGCTGGGCGTGGCGTGGTGGGACGCACCGCTCCTGGGATTTGGCCCCGAGGCCCAGACAGGCCGGGGTGCCGTCCGCCACCCTGCTCTGCCCGCCGTGGAGGCCACGTCTGCTAATGAGCCTGTTGCCAAGGAGCGGCTCCCGAGCCGGCAGCTGCCCTGGCCCGGCCAGGTGTGCATGGCCCGGGGCGGGCAGACAGCGGGGCCGGCCGAGCGCCACTTGTAAAGGGTAATCACCCGGCGCGGCAGGGTAATCGCCGCTTCCCAGCAGGCAGACGTGATCTCATTAGCCATCACCAGGAAGGCGGTCAGGGGAGGTCTCCCCGCTCCCTCGAAGGGGAGGCACCCCACACTAGGGAAGAGCCGAGCTCTGAGTGTGGGGGGTAGGCACAGAGACTGGGCATCGTGGCCAAGAGATGCACTCGGGGGCAGTGCTCTCTGGGCTACTAGGCCCAGGCCTGGCTCCTCCCGGGCCAGGCGTACTTCCGCCTCCCTGCTGGAGCTCAGGCTGTGTTCCCTCCTACGGGGGCCAGATGAGCCCCCTCCGCTGGGAAGAGTTGTGGCCCAGGCCATCCTGTCACCCTCTCTCTTCTCTCTGAGCTCCTGTGCTTCTGTCACCTGCACCCCCAGGGGTGGAGGAAAGAGCAGCCAACGCCTGACAGCATAGGGAGGCCTCAGAGCTGCAGGCTCCATGCTTGACCCCGGGCTACACGGCAGCCAGTGTCTGCTGTGAGGCTGAATTCTGGTCTCCTGGCCTCTCATTCCTTCCCAGCCGTCAGTGACCTGTTTCCGATGCAATGCCGCTTTGGACATCCTGGTGCGAGCTACTCCCCAGAAAGATATCCGTGCCAATAAGCGTGTTTGATATCAAGAGGTCATGGGTCCTCTGGAGTCCACCCAGGGGTCTTCCATGGCTTCCCTGGTGCCCATCAGCATCATCCGGGGCTTGGTAAAAAGACAGATGTCCAGCCCGGCTGGTGTGGCTCAGTGGTTGGGCGTCGACCCATGAACCAGGAGGTCACGGTTGGATTCCCGGTTGGGGCGCATGCCCGGGTTGTGGGTCGATCCCCAGTAAGATTTCCGAAGGCCATCTGTCTTGAAGAAGGCTCAGCTTCCTCATCCTCCAAGGGGAAGCCACGGACACTCTTTTACTTGGCCCAGTAGGTACTTAAGGGAGTGTCCTGAAGGGGGCAGTCGGCCACCAAAGCGCCCACTGTCCTGCTCCCTGACTTCATGCCCGGCGTCCATGCGGTCAGAGCTGGTGGGGAGGTCACGGCTGGAGGAGAGACTGTTCCTGGCCAGGGCCAGGCGGGGGTTTTGGCTCTTAGCCTCTGACATCGGTTACTCATCTTTTCTATGCCAAGAGCCCGCAAGGAAGGGCATGTGTGATGAAGATGGGGGGAGGGGGCGTCTTCCTCCATTGCCTTTTTCAGAAGCAGGAGAGGGGGACACACGGTTATTATTCCTTTTTTGTTGTGGTTAACCCTCACCGGAGGATATTTTCCCATTGGTTTTTAGAGAGAGTGGAAAGGAGTGGGAGAGACAGAGGAGACAGAGAGAGAAACGTCAATGTGAGAGCGACACATCAATTGGTTGCCTTCCGCACATACCTGACCAGGGCCGGGAATCGAGCCTGTAACTGCGGTACGATC